AGATCAGACATGTCAGCTACTGCTGCCAGCTGAAACATGTCCCCGATAGTGCCTGTTTGCCTGGGGTCTTGCATAACTGCTGGGGCCCAGCTCCCCCCTTCCAGTGTGCTTCTCCACCTTCCCCAATCTCCGCCTCACTGTGTACTTGACATCTCCGTGTTTTGACTTCCCTGATGTCAAGGCTATCTGGATCACACCCTGCTGGGTCTTTCCCAGCCCCTTTGGACGTAGTTTCTGCCTGTTAGCCTGAACTCCCTTTGGGGCCTACAGCTAGCTCTGTCCCCAAGCACCCCTGCCACCTCTCCCTCTATCTTCCTCAGGGAATAGGCCTAGTTTAGAAGGCCCCAAGTGTGTTATAAGAATTGATACTGGTGTGCAAATAGCAGTTGCAACATCAAATAGGACTTTTGGGAACTTAATGTATAATATTTACTTGTTCGAATTCAGATCTTTTATGTATGCTCCTTCTGCTTCCTTAAGTGAAAAGATTTTTGTCCCTTGAGGTGTTTGCAGAAAGAGGTATGTGTGTTTTGCAACAGTTAGTGCCAAACAATGTTGTTTTAGGTGCTGCCTGAATTCTATGTCTTTCAAAACTGCTGGGCTAATTAAGATGAAACAGCTACATTCTGGGGTTTCCTGGAAGGAGCTTAGATTCCTTTCTGCAACCTGGGTTTTTCTCCTACTCCTAAACTTTGAGATCTCAGCTTCAGTGTTACGTCCTGTCCTAGGCCATTTTTGTGTTCCTGGAAAGGAATACTTGAGGCTGGGTAATTTATAAAGAAAAGAGGTATATTTGGCTCACCATTCTGTGGGTTGTGCAACAGGCATGGCACCAGCATTTGCTTTTGGTGAGGGCCTCAGGCTGCTTCCTCTCATGGCAGAAGGGGAAGGGAAAGGGGAGCTGGTGTGTGTAGAGATCACAAGCAGAGAGGAAAAGAGAGAAGCAGCAAAAGAGAGGAAGGTGGAGACACCAAGCTCTTTTCAACAACCAGTTCTTAAGGGATCGAGAGTGAGCATGGCACCAAGCCGTTCATGAGGATCCTCCCCAGCCACCCAAACACGTCCCACAGGCCTGCCTCCCAACACTGGGGATCCAATTTCAACATGAGCATGTCCAAGCCCCAGCCCCTTCTTAGAAAGGACTTTCCACTTGTCCTATTTGGAAAAGGTCCCTCCCCTTGCCTTGTTAGCCCCTGGCTGTTTCCTTCACGGCACTTAAGAGAATTTGAAATTATTTTATTTGTGTACTTGCTTGTGTTAGAATGACTTCTCCCAAAAGGCAGGTTTACAAAATTGTATTCCCAAGAGTTAACATAATGCTACCTCAAAATAGCTGTTCAATAATTATTTGTTGAATGAAAGTTTTTCTCTTTTCTAGTAGAAATAAAATAGTAACTATAGATCTATATAGCCTATCCTTCTCTAATGAACATCAGGTGACAAAGAGAGGTAAAATGCCTAATTCTATTCTATTTACGTGTCTAGGATGTGAAAGTATTGCTTATCATCAAGGACCCAAAGCATAGACTGCCTACAGGGGATCTATTGAGGATTGGGAAGTGGGCAGCTTATCTGTGGCAGCCCCCTCCACCCTCACTGTTTTCCCCATTTCTGCTTCATGAAAACAATCCTTCCAGATGTCTCAATGCAACCAGTACCTTTATTCTTTTGTTTTTCTCTCTGCTATCAAAATTTGTTATTAGAGAAAAAATCTGAAACTCATTCATATTATGATTCTTCAGAGGAGTATTATTAGCATGTGAGCATTTAAACACTTTAGCCATTGGAATGAAGCAGAAGCAGTAGAAACTCTGGCCTTGTCTGGCACTGGAGGAAGGAAATTAAGGAAAGGACCCGCAACTTGGAGTTGATCAACAAGTTTATGCTCTTGAATGATACCTTTGGAGGGGCAGGGGAAGGAAGAGAAAATGAGAGTGGGGATACAGGAGGTTGAAATCTTACTGTAAAATAAGTCTTGGCTTTTGCAGTCTGGGTGTAATATAAACTATTAAATGTTAATAGCTTTGTTTATAAACCATGAGATGGACTGCTTTTTTTCTAGGAGAAAAAAAATGAGTCCCAGATGCTTTCTTTAGTAGGTCTACTCAGGCAACTCTGGACTAAGCACCTTGCCCTTGGGCAGATGCCGTGTGAACTCAAGATGTGTTCTGTGATCTCTTTGTGAGACCTCTTTAAAAGGGCTTTCCTACCCTGATAAATAAGACTTCATGACAGTTAAGATAATGCTTCTGTCTGTCTTTCTTAGCCTTTGTTTCTTTTTCTCAGAAATTTATTGGTAAAGGGCTGGATAGTCCTTTGATACTTTGTTTGGAGCAAGAATCATTTCTCATCTTCCAAAGAGATGAGATCACAATAGAGAAGCTGCCCCACCGTCAGGGAACCTTCCTGGACCTCAGCTGACAAGTCTGTAAAATGGGGATACTAAGACCTGTTTCACAGGGTCATCTTTGGGATCTCCACTCCTCTAAGCCTTCCTACTTTTTAAGGTCCAGGTTAAGTTTCCTCTCCTTTGTGTGAGCTTTCCCCCATCTGTATCACTTCCTAAAGTCTTATGTTTCTTAGAATCAGTAATAAATGAATTCCTGTTTATTTCTGTTCAAATTAAAATACAGTTATGTAGGTTAAGTTGATCACCTTAGGTAGATGTGAATTCCATAGAAGTAATCATCCCTCAAGGTTCCAGATTTTCAGATGCTATGTATTTAAATACTGTGTATTCAAAATAACTAAAATAATAAAGATAATAATAACAATTACCATTTCATGACAAACGGTTATGTCCCAAAAACTCTACTGAACTCTTTATAAATAATCTCTCAATTTACAACCAAATGAGGTGGATATTACTAGGCTCAATTTATAGATAAGGAAACCAAAGCTCACAGATTAATTTGCTTGCTGGAGTCCAGGTGAAAACTGGCAACTAGAATTTTAAACTCTTGCATGTCTAAGTCCAAAGCTCCTTGCATTACTGGCTGTTAGGTGGGGTCCACCTTCTCCCATCCCCCACCAAGTGTGCCATCCTTCTCTTGTGGTCACAGCATGAAAGGAATGCAAAAGAGAGAGAGATGCAAAGACAGATTTTATTAAAACAAATTATACATATTACTATCTTTTTCCTTCTGAAAGGATTGATCTCAGAATATCTAATTCGAGAACAGTCATTTCACAAATACATTTCAGAAACAGAAGGAGAAAGAATCTCGATCCAGTGCCAGCCAATAGATAAAAAGATATCTCTTGTCCCACCCAGGGACTACCCCACCAGTCGGTCTTTCCTAAATGGGATCCCACTTGACCCCACTTATCCACTCTCATCCTCCTTTTCACCCACCAATGACATCCAAGTATTAGCAGAGAGGCCCAGAGATGAGCAGGTGGGGAATAGGCTGAGGTTCCTTCTGGGCCTTCACCCCAACTTCTCATGCCTGTCCATTTAAACTGCTAACAACAAGACAGTGGGCTCAGCCCCCCTGCCAGGCCACAGGAGAGGAGGGCAGGAAGACATAGTTTCTCTCTGATTCTTGTCCTGATTTCAGGACTCTCCTCTTCTTCATCCATCCTATCCACAAACACACACACACATGCATTTTTTAAAACAATCATCTCTCTTTAAGTCTCAGTATCCAATTCTGAGCATTCTCTACCTTTATCCAAAATGGTAGCCACCATTATAGATCCAGTGAAGAGGGAAGCTAGGCTAGTTCCCGGGGAAGGCAGGGCTTTTCTGAACCCCTACTTGGCGGTCTTTTTAAGGGCAGTAGGGAGACATAGGAATCTCTGTGTTCTTTAAATAAGGGCCCTGGGAAGACAGCTAGAGATTCTCCTTCCTATTTCATGCCCCTACTAAAGCCTCCAGGGAGAGATCTGGGGGCCTTTGTAGCTGTCATCACACCTCCTCTTGGCACTTTAAGTTGGCAGTCAGCAAGGGAAATAAACAGGAGGAGAAATTAGTTTTCCAGTATTTTCTTTCCTTTTTTATTTTCATCTTCACAGAATTATTTTTTCCCAAGGAGAAACTGAGAAGTGCAATGCCCTCCTTGTCTTAATAAGACCAGGGGAAATTCCACTGGCCTCCATGGCTGGTGATCTGGTCAGGATCTGAGAGAGGACAATGGCTTCTTGGGCATTCCTGTAGACAAGGTCTTCTGAGGAGCGTTGGGTAAACAGCCAAGGGAGAAGAGAAGGGATGGTTTCTATCATCAGACTGAACTGTAAAGGAGTCACAAGATGACAGGTAGCAGCAGGAATTCCAGTGAAGTCTGCCTGTACAATGACTCCCTACAGGAGCTGTTACCTCCATGGAGTGGCTGTACACCCTGGCAGAAGGAATGGCTACAACATCCCCATGGTGGCACATTTGCTAGAGGTACATACCAAGGCACTTGTAAAGTTGTGGCTGCTGATCAAGATCCCCTTTTCACACTGAGCAGAGGAAGGGGTAGCCAAGGGCAGCCCACGGCCACCTCATCACCACTCCAAGGAAGGCCCACACAGACAATAGATTCAAGAGCACACACTAATGCAAGTTCCTCGATTCATGCTCTCCACTGGCTGGGAATTTGGGGCTCTTCCTTGGGGGAGGAAGGGTGATTAGCTCAAGGAAGACAAAGAAACTTGGAGAACCATCTGTCATGTGGCTGGTATGTAGTCATTCTGTCCCTCTGGCTATCCCTTCCAGGCCAGATTTTGCCTAGGTTTCTTCCCTCTCTCTCCCTTGCTCAGTGAGTAATCTGAAAGGTTTCCCTTTGCACACTGGACAGGGGATGGGGAGTGGACAGCAGCCTGGGTGGGTAGCAGTGTCCCTGACTACACTCAAAGAGGCCTGGTTATACTTTTTGCAATTAATGAGCAATGCCATTGAGACCCCCAGGTCCCAAAAGGAGCAGAACAGTGCTGATGAGAAAGCACGGGGTCAGAAGGGACACACCTTCCCTCTCTGGGTTTGTTCCCACCTGACCCGGTCTTGTCTTGCAGCAGGGTCACACTGATAGGTCATCTGACCTGGCCTTGCTACTGGCTTTGCTAAGACGCCGCTTGTCACTGTGGTAGCCATGGGGAAGGCAGTGACCTGGAGAGGCTCCGTTGGGCACCTCGGGCTTCTGGCCATAGTGAATGTGGATGAAGCCCTCTCCAGGAACCTGCTCCTGGCCCCGCACTTGCTCGGTGGCCAAGTTGTCTGTGTTCTGCTGGGAGGCCATGTTGTTACTGAAGGGACTGAAGAATTTTCCACCAGGGCCGTTCTCCAGGCACCGGTTGAAGTCGGGGGGTGGCGTGCAGCTCTGGACCATGCCTGCAGAGGGACCGGGAAGCTGGCACTCGGCCATGCCCTGATGTGACCTGACAAACCTTCGTCTGATCTTCTTCCAGCCCAGGTGGTAGAGTTCGGCCAGGCTAAGGAAGAGCGACAGTCCAGCCACGGCCAGCATGAAGACAATGAAGACGTTCTTCTCCGTGGGCCGGGACACGTAGCAGTTGACTGGGTGGGGGCAGGGGCTGCGGCGGCAGACATGCAGGGTGCTCAGGAAGATCCCGTAAAGCAGGTACTGGCCCACAATGAAGGCCACCTCCATGGTGGTGCGGATCAGGATGCTGCAGACGTAGGTGTTGAGCAGAGTGCCCTGGAGGACAATCTTTCCATTCGCTTCCTCCCAGCAGGTCAGCTCTGCCTTCCCCACCGGGTACTCGTAGGAGCCAGCGCCCCTGCTGTCCCGGGCCCTCTCGGCCTCGCGCAGCTTCCGCTTCTCCTGCATGCGCACCGTGTGCATGGCGTGGCCCATGTACACCAGGGAGGGCGTGGACACGAAGATGATCTGCAGCACCCAGTAGCGGATGTGGGAGATGGGGAAGGCCTGGTCGTAGCACACGTTCTCGCAGCCCGGCTGAATGGTGTCGCACTGGAAGTCAGCCTGCTCGTCACCCCAAGAAGACTCGGCAGCCGTGCCCAGCACCAGCATGCGGAATATGAAGAGCACGGTGAGCCAGACCTTACCGATCACCGTGGAGTGCTTGTGCACCTCCTCCAGAAACTCACCCAGGAAGCTCCAGTCGCCCATCTTGGCTCAGCCAGGCAACAGATGGCCAAAACCGCTGCAAAGGAAAAAGGGAGAAAGAGAAAAGGAGATAGATGTTACTGCAAAGCTCCGGAAGGTCCTGCTGTCTTCTGGAATTCCACTGATCCTAATGTGTTCCTCAGGAAAGTGCAATTTAAAAGTCAAATGCAACCCCAGAAAAGTTCTTCCTCCCCCTCCCAACAACAGTAAACTAAAGACAGTTCCAAGCGGTCATATTAGCAAAATCAGACCACGGTTTCACACACTTAAATGAACTGAGAAATTGAGGAAGCTGTGTGTTACAATGTGGATTCTGTGTTCTTACCCTAAGGAGGGCTGGGGTAGCCGGCAGGACCCCGCATTTGCAACAAGCAGCCCATGTGACTCTGATTTGGGCAGTCAGGGACCACATCTTGAGAAACACCAGAGAAGTGGCAACAACACAGGCCGGGATTTTAAGGATTGCATGAGATGAGACATGTGATATGCTGCAAATCATACCCCAAGTAGTCTATATCTTTGAATGGCTTTCAGATGGAACAGGAAATGTTTAATGGCAACAGAGGGCAGAATAAGGTGGAGGAGGAAGTGAGGGTAAGAGTGGCAGATTTGGCCTTTGAGGAATCAGTCTGTGATGAGCGGAACTGTGCAGCATGGACCAGCTGTGTGGGGAAGTAGTGAACAAAAAGTGTGCTTTGGTCACAGATAGCTGAAGGTATCACAGCTGTACCCAGCTTCCCCCAGGCAGTAGGCAGCAGGTAGTGTGGACTATCCAGTGGCCCAGGGCAGCACAGTCATTCCAGCCCCACAGCTCGGCTCGCCCTGCTGCTGACTGTTCTGTGCACAGAGGTACACAGACCTGCTCACTCCCACATCCAGAATAAATGTCCCAAAGCTTTAAGTCTCCCACAACATCTTCCCCATCTGGGTCTTACCTGCTTCTTCAGCCTCCTGTCCTGCCTATCCCCATTAGCTCCCTTTGTCCAACCATGACGAGTCTTCTCAAATGCCCTTTTTCCAGGATCTACATGTCCCCGAACTCTGAGCTGAATCCCATTTGCCCTTCAAAACTAAACCCAGTCACAGCTTTCTCCAGCTGTCTCTGCTCCCTCAACCTGAGCTCTTCAGGTCCTATGGTGACCATGGGACACTCACTCCCCTCTCCGGACTTGCCACCATCTTTTGTAATCCTCTGCCTGTCTGTATTCTCCCAGCAGGAACCCTTTTCCTCTGTACCATTGGAGCCCGGCTCAGAGTAGGTGCTTGGTAAATCTTAGTTGAGTTTGGGGACAGCTGACAGACTCTGAGGCTTCCTATCTGATGGCAAATCAACTTGCTGTTCCTTGCCTGCCTCCTGTGGGCAGGAGGAAATGCCAGATACCACTTTCTCAGTCTCCACTGCAGTTAGCACTGGTCAGGGAGGTGTGGGGAGAGACTGAGGTGGAGGGAGTGCTCTGAAAAAGGTTTCCATCCTCCAGTAAACGAACAGGGCCTCGCTCACAATCCTGCCTGCCCTCACATTTCCTGCCTGTGGACGCAGTTGTGTGAGCCAAGATGTCTAAAGCTGTCCAGAGAATCTCAGAAATGCCAACCAGTGCCCTGAGGCCTCTGAATCAACTCTTAAGTGGCTGACTTCCAGAATTCTTTCTTGGTGAACAATAAATGTCCCTATGGTTTAAGTCTCTAACCAATCCTAATCAACAGGGTAACAAAAAGATAGGCGGGAAGGATCATAAATATTCCCTTCTTAGAATCATAAAACCTCAGATCTGGGTAGAACTTTAGAGGTTGTCAGGTTCACACTTTGACCTTCATTATCTTTACTGCCAACATACTCCTGATTCCTGCTGGAACATTCTTTATGCTTATGAGGAAAGGTGGCATGGGAGCAATTCATTTCATAATCCAAGTTTCTTTGGCTCCTGAATTGATTGTTGCCTTGACAGAGACCAACCTCCTGGCTCCGTCTTCTCCCAAGCCCAGATCCCCAATCTTGACAGTATGCAGAGTCCCTGGGAATGAGGGAGTCCCTGAGTGAGCGGAAAGGGTCTTATCTCTGCTCTTCTCCCTATCAAAGACCCATGCAGGTCTTGAGGCCTTTCCTGTGGTTTGTGATCAGACATCTGTCCCTTTTCATAAGGTGGTAAAGCACCCCTCTTCTGGCCTCCAAATGTGGAAAATTGTGGAGCATTTGCTCAAAAGGAAAATGGCTGATTAGATAAGCATTAGAATGATCTGTCATCTCTTCTGGGCACGTGGACAGCATTCAGCACTTTCAGGGGCAGCCACATGTGAGCAGTGACTGGATGATGGTTAATGTCTAAAAGATAAAGGGAGGGAGGGAAGGAGAGGAACAGAAAGAGAAAAGAGGAGCAGGAAAGAGGAAGGACGGAGAAGTTGGAAAGGGGGAGAAAGAGACAGCATAATGGTTAGGAGAAGGCAGACATAGGAGTTTGATGACTGAAGTTCAGATCCATCTGCTGAGTTTGGATAAATGATTGGATCTGTGTTTCACTTTTCTCATCTGCCAGATGGAGATAGTACAATTTAGCTCAGAGAATGATATGAGGTCAGACAATTAAGTTTGAGAACTCATCCTAGAAAAAGTGCTACGTACTTCATTGCTGCCTATAACTGTGGTCACCTTCAAAGTACTTCCCTTGGCCATCTGGTGACCGTAGTGATATTCAGCAGTGAGGTATGTAGCACTTTTTCTAGGATGAGTTCTCAAACTTAACTGTCCAGCCTCATACATAAAAAGCATTTAGCACAGTGCTCAGCGTGTAAGAACTTGATGAAAGGCAGCCATCACTAGCAAAGAGAGTGATGGGGAAGGATGAGGGTAGGAGACAGAGAAAGTAGAAGGTAAAGTGCATTACAGAGGAGAAAGGGAAAAGGGAAGGGGGGGAGCAGAAGAGGAGGGAAGGAGAGGAAGATGGAAATGGAAATGAAAAGGAAGCCAAAAGCAGTAACTATCATATGCTTCCAGGATTAGGGACAGGTTTTCCACACTCAATCCCCGAACTTTTTTCCCTTGGTCTGCTCATTCTGTCACTCATTCCTTTCCAGTCTCCAAGGAAATCTAAAAATAGTTCCAGGCAGAGAATCTGATGCTTTGGTCTGGTGTGCCAAGGGGCATGTCTGCTGACTCCCTAACTGTGGTCCAAGGAATCCCACCTGGAAGAAGTAAAACACAGGTCCCAGAAAGGAACACCTTGGAAGCCCAGAAAGACGGTGTGAGGAGGTGTCTTATCAGGAGAGAATAAAGGAAACCAGCTGAAGAGGTATAGGAGTGAGGCAGACCTCCTGGGCCCTGGCAGAGGAAACAGGGTGAAGGCATTTTCATTTATGACTTCCTGCTGACACTCAGGCAAGGTCAGAGAAACTCAAAGTCGCTACCATATACCAGATGCTCCGTTTATAATGTGAAAGGTCCCTGGCTGAAGTTAATTTTCCAGCTACACTGGCTCCCTTTACCCCACACCCCATCTCAGCCAAATCGGTAGATTGGATACTCAGTGAGTTCACTGGGCGTATGAAAGGTTTTGTAGATCTGTATCCACCTCTTGGCAGGAAGTGTGTTAGGAGGGGCAGGGGAAGCCGCCCAGGCCATGAATAAATTCTATCAAATACAATGGTAATTTGCTTCTCTGCTTTAGCAATGGCTCATTGGCTTCCTACTGTTTATAAAGTCCACTTCTTAACTTGCCATTTGCCAGCCTCCACAGCACTGCCTCGTCAGAAAGATAGATTCTCTGTTCCCTTACACACTCAATAATTAAGGTACATATCCCACAGTTTCTTGGCTCCACACGTTCCCTCTGCCTAGAATGTTCCTTCATTGTTCCTATTGTTCCTTCATTTAATAAATCTGCTGAGTGGCCCCAGGTGCCAGGCCGCGTGCTGGGCACTGAGCGTACAGTAGGGAGGAAGGGAAACAAACCAGGATCCCTGCCTTCTCTGAGTTTAACTGCCTTTATTTCCTTTAATTAAGGGATGACATTAAGTGTACAATAAAATAATAAAATGTGATGTGTGTTAATATTAGGGAAGAATAAGGTGCTATGGGAATATGGGGCAGGAGCCTGAAACTGGTTTTACTGGGTTAGGGGGGGTCTTGGGTAATTGTGTCCCACAGCCCTGTGCAACTGAAACAAGTTCTGAGATTGCCCAGGCAAAGAGAGATGGCCGTTAGAACCTGGATGAGAACATCCCAGCTTTAAAGGTTCTTCATTCCAAAACCTTCAGCATCCTTATCCAATGTGTCATATCCTAGAATAAAGCAGATTTTGGAGGGTACTTGTTTGGTCATAGTAATGTGGTGCTTGAGTAAGGGAGAGAGGGCCAGAAGAAGAGCTTTATGTCTAGTGACTATGAGTCATTTCATGCCTTTACTTCATATATTATATGGCAAGAAATAAAACTCATGTATCTACATTCTTAATCCATCCAGTCTCTTCCTCATGGAGACAGTGTGGTCCCCCTGCACAGCCAATGTTTTCAAAGAAAACCATTTCAGAGCAACCTAGATTAATCATAAGCTCATAGCCAGGACCTATTCCTCTGACCCCCCCAGATTCAGGGTGAAATGGAGAAGTCTTCTTAAATTGTCCTTAACCCTCTCTGATGTCTCGGGGATTTGAAAAGACTCTAAATTGCTATCCAGCTGGAGGACGCATTCTCACACTTGACTATATGCTGCCTTAGATTAGCTTTCCAAACATTTCTTATCTATCAGGCAACCTACTGAGTATCTATCAGGTACTCTTCAGACCCTACTATGTGTCTGCCTATGTTCTGGGTGTCGCCGGGCTAACATATATTACACAATGATGTCCATTAAATTAGTGAAATCAGGTGTTATTCCTTTCCTCATGTATTTAACAGAACTTCACCTCAAGTGGATAGTATATGTCTCAAAGTCAAAAGCCCTGTTTTCAACTTTGTATTTTTATTGTATTCGGTTATCTGACTATATACGTAATGAATGTTTGTAGAAGTGATTGGAGGAAATTTTGATCTAGCAGTAAGATTGCA